GTGCTCGCTTCGGCAGCACATATACTAAAATTGGAACGATACAGAGAAGATTAGCATGGCCCCTGCGCAAGGATGACACGCAAATTCGTGAAGCGTTCCATACTTTTGCTATAGTCCGCAGCTGGTCAGCTCGTTTTGCTTCCCTGCCCCGGACTCCCCGGATGTCCGTCTCCCCGGCACCAGAGGTTGGCGATAGAAGAATCTGGCCGTCCCCACTCAGGCACTCAAGCACCTGCCCCTGTAGTAAGTAAATGCTCTTCAGGGGCACGTATTGAGTCCCTCCTGCGGATACCATAGTAAGAGGATACTATGGTTTCTGTTTTTGGTGGTTTTTTTGTTTGAGACGGATTCTCGCTCCGTCACCCAGGCTGGAGTGCAGAAGCGCGATCTCGGCTCTCTGCAACCTCCGCCTCCCGGGTTCAAGCGATTCTCCTGCCTCAGCCTCCCAAGTAGCTGGGATTACAGGCATGCGCCACCGCGCCCGGCTCATTTTGTATTTTTGGTAGAGACTGGGTTGCTCCATGTTGGTGAGGCTGGTCTCGAACTCCCAACCTTAGGTGATCTGCCCGCCTCAGCCTCCCAAAGTGCTGGGATTACAGGAATGAGCCACAACGCCGGGTCTAGACAGGGTTTTTTGTAGATCCATGTTGCCTATGGTCTGAACTCTTGAGCTCAAGCAATCTGCCAGCGTCAGCCTCCCAAAGTGCTGGGATTACAGGTGTGACCCACCAAGCCCACCCAAAAAAAAGTTTTGGTTTTTGTTTGTTTGTTTTGACACAGAGTCTCACTGCCGCCCAGGCTGGAGTGCAGTGGCGTGATCTTGGCTCACTGCAACCTCCGCCTCTTGGGTTCAAGCAATTCTCGGCCTCAGCCTCCTGAATAGCTGGGATTACGGGCGCCCGCCACCACGCCCAGCTAATTGTTTTATATTTTTAGTAGAGACGGGGTTTCACCATCTTGGCCAGGTTGGTATTGAACTCCTGACCTCGTGATCCACCTGCCTCGGCCTCCCAAAGTGCTGGGGTTACAGGCGTGAGCCACCCCACCTGGCAGAGAAGGGGTTTCACTGTGTTAGCCAGGATGGTCTCGATCTGCTGACCTCGTGATCCGCCCGTCTCGGCCTCCCAAAGTGCTGGGATTACAGGCGTGAGCCATGGCGCCTGACTTGTTAATTTTTATTTTTTAGAGACAAGGTCTCACCCAAGCTGGAGTGTAGGGATATGATCATGGCTCACTGCAGCCTCCACCTCCTGGGCTCAAGCAATCCTCCCACCTCAGCCTCCCATGTAGCTGGAATTACAGGCATGCATCATCATCCTCAGCTAATTTTTTGAAACATTTTTTTTTGAGGTCAGGAGATCAAGAACATCCTATATAACAGGGTGAAACTCCATCTCTACTAAAAAATTGCAAAAAATTAGCTGGGCATGGTGGCGGGCGCCTGTACTCGGGAGGCTGAGGCAGGAGAATGGCATGAACCTGGGAGGCAGAGCTTGTAGTTGAGCCGAGATCGTGCCACTGCACTCCAGCCGGGGCAACAGAGAGAGACTCCGTCTCAATAAATAAAATAAAATTAGAATAGAATAGAAGAATAGAATAGAATAGAATAGAATAGAATAGAATAGAATAGAATAGAATAATAGAATAGAATCGAATAGACTAGAATAGAATAATTTTGCTTCCCTGATGGCACCAGCCACACTTCCAGTGCTCAGTGGCCCCGTGGCCAGTGGCTACAGTAGTAGACAGTGCCGCATTGAAAATTTCCTTCATCTCAGAATAACAGAAATGCTCAGCACTAGTCTAAAATGAGATTCGTTGGCCGGGTGCGGTAGCTCACGCCTGTAATCGCAGCACTTTGGGAGGCTGAGGCAGGCGGATCACCTGAGGTCAGGGGTTTGAGACTAGCCTGGCCAGTATGGCCAAACTCCATCTCTACTAAAAATAAAATAAAATAAAATGTGTCAAATTCCTACTCATGCTTCAAAACCCCATCTCCCTTGCCTCCTCTTACAGGCAGCTTTCCTTGATTCCTCCGACAGAGCCCCAACTCTCCCTCCATGTTCCTCCAGCCCCAAGCTTCTCATTCTGTCCTGTACTTGCTCATATAGGGAAACAGAGTGTGGGGGTCCGCTTGTGCCGGCTTATACAGGGAATCCAGGTTGGGGGTCGGCCTGTGCCAGCTCTGTCTTCCTGGGCATGGGCTGGGCCAGAGCTAAGGTCTCCTGAGAGCCGGCACTGCTTGACAGGAGACTGTACCGGAAACTATTTAATAATTTATTATTATTAGTTTTTGAGATGGAGTGTCACTGTGTCGCCCAGGCTGGAGTGCAGTGGCACGATCTCGGCTTACTACAACCTCCGCCTCCTGGGTTCAAGTGATCCCTCCCACCTCAGCCTCCTCAGTAGCTGGGATTACAGGCATGTGCCCCCGTGCCCAACTAATTTTTGTTTTTTTAGTAGAGACGGAGTTTCGCCATATTAGCCAAGCTGGTCTGGAACTCCTGACCTCAAGTGATCTGCCTGCCTCGGCCTCCCAAAGTGCTGGGATTACATGCGTAAACCACCCGGATTTTTATATTTATTTATTTTTATTTATTTATTTATTTATTATTTTTGAGACAGAGTCTGTCCCCCAGGCTGGAGTGAGTGGCCCGATCTCAACTCACTGCAAGCTCCGCCTCCCGGTTTCGCCATTCTCCTGCCTCAGCCTCCTGAGTAGCTGGGATTACAGGCACCGGTCACCGTGCCCGGCTAATTCTTTTGTATTTTTTGTAGAGACGGGGTTTCACCACGTTAGCCAGGATGGTCTCGATCTCCTGACCTCGTGATCCACCCGCCTCGGCCCCCCAAAGTGCTGGGATTACAGGCGTGAGCCACCGCGCCTGGTCTTATTTATTGATTGTTTTATTTTTATTTATTTTTTTAATTGATTTTTAAAGACAGGCTCTTGCTCTGTTGCCCAGGCTGCTGGAGCGCAAGGTTGTGATAACTCACTCCAGCCTCGACCTCCTGGCCTCAACGGATCCTCTCCCTTCGGCCTCAGCTTCCCAAGTAGCTAGAACTCCAGGAGCAAGCTACCGCACCCAGTAAGAATCCTATTCTCTTTTGGACTAACAAACTCCTACTCATCCATCAAAGCCCCAGCTCCAAAGGCCCCTTCTCCGAGGAACCTGGCCTGGTTCCCTAGTCCACCTCCCAGCTAGTAGAGCTCCCTGGGAAGGGGTTAGACGCCTCTAAGTGGCAGAGAGAGGCCCTTATTCCTGCCCCAAAGGAAGCCTTCTCCCCTCCCCTGTGTGGCAGAAGAGGAGTCGGAGACGGAGAAAGAGGGAGAGCCGCCCAGGAGCTCTGAGCAGGGAGCCGGCAGGAGCGCCACGTCCGAGCGGCCTTGGTCCCTCCCTGCCTCAGTTTCCCGTGGCGTCAAAGCGGGCGAGCGCCCCTCCGGGCCTCTGGTGACGGGGGTGCTGTGCCCGGGCGGGGGTT